TCTCGGGACATCAAAGGTTATAACTCTGGCATCGACATTCTAGGCGCACGTGCGTCCCTACACGCTGAACGTCACAAAAACCAAAGCAACCAGACCACGCGCGTGTCAGTTGCCATGATAATCGCGCGTCGTGCGGTGATTACAAAGGACTAATGATATTTTGCACTAACATTAGACCATGGAGCTATTAAACAATTATTATATCTCTATGCATTAGACTGAAATGGACTGAAAGAACAACTAAAATTAAAAAAGCAAAATAACAACATTCATCAATTTTAAAGCTATGCGTTTCTTCCGGTGAGGCGCTTAATTTGGGCTATTTATTTATTTATTTATTTTTTGTTATTGTGAAATTTGAAAATTTTTAATCGTTTTATAGAGTAGGCCTATTTTATCCTTTTTATTTTTATTATTGAAAAATGTTTTGTATTTTTATATGAAATTTTTATATCTTATATATTTATTGTGTTTGAAGCCTGCCTCCTATTTGTCTGTTTTTTTGGTGTGTTCATAATTGTAATCAGTTAAGGCGAATAAATAAATTGAATTGAATTCAATTAAAAATGGATACGTATACTCAAATAGAAATGTGGAAATAACCCTACAACACATAATTATCGTCAAAATGTCATTGCGTAATCATAAATTCTTACTGATGCCAAAGGTTTAACAACATGTAATTCAACCGGTGTAGAAGTACAACGTTAACATGAATATTTAATCATGCATGTTATTTCAAAATCAACTTAATTGTACCATCATCACAACATCCTCTTAAGTGCACCATTAGTAGAGTCATTTTCATGAGATCCGTGACTAATTTTAGGATACCTTTGTTTCTCGATGGATTTGGCAAGATCGACCAATTTAGATAAAATATAGCTCCTATATACCTCCCAGATATTGGGGGAAAGTCCCGTTTGGGGGAGTTTTTCAAAATGGCCGCCTGTTGATTTGGACGCTTGTATCTCGATAACCACTGGTCAGAGAGACTTGATTTTGGTCTCAAATTGTTCACAATATGCATGTTCCTATTTGTCTACTGGTCATAGAGACTCACAATTGATTGTAAATTGTTCAGGAGATTCATGTTTATATTCGTCCTAACGAAAAATATATTCAAATAGTGACCGGAAACGGTACATTCTGACCTTTGACCTATTGTAGTGTCATTCCATATCAAATCAACCAGATTAAAAAGAAATTCCTGTATGACCGTCTCAGATTTTGATGAAACTTCATAAAAAAGATCCACTGTATGAAAAACCAAAAAAAAAAAAAAAATTAGCCTCATAGGATATGTAGTTTTCGAGATATTGACTCCTCAAAAATATGGGGCGTGGTTCTTCAAGATGTGCAAACGCAATTTACTTCAACTTTGAAAGCTTATAACAGGAGATTGGTAATAGCTACCTGTATCAGTGTCAAACTTGGTATTCTAACATATTTTTCGCCATTTTTCACAAATATGGCCTTAGATTAACAGTTATCCCTTCCCTTTTGAAGTTATCTGCACTCAAAGTAGCCGCTTTGTTTAACGATGCAATTTTTTGTGATTTTCGAGGTCACCCTGCGTCTATATGAGTGGGTATATACACCTCATATTACAGAAATATTATCTATGTGTAGTTGTCTCTAGCCACATGCAAGCGCAGGCTGATCAAATCAATTAAAATTGAATGGCATGTATTCAAAGTTGGGACCAGATCTATAAAAGTGAAAGACGCCAATGTTTTTCAACAACGGATCGTCTTGTGGAAAGTTAAAATCTTTTCTTAAATTTACCCCAGTTAATCAGATACATTGGATCTACCTATAAACCAAATTTTAGCTTTGGTACTTAGCTCATGGCTAGATACTATGTTGAAAACTACACATATTTCAACGTAATAGGAAATCACAAACAATTGTAAGATTTGGGTCATTCCATGCCAAACACACAAATGCATTACACCATGACCATGGGTCATAGATTTTTTTTTAAATTTTTTGCCACACTGACTCAGTGATATAGATATATATGTGAACTGAAAACCCGAAATTTTGCCTCTCTAATTCGTTCACTTTCCTGTAGCGGTAGTTTGAAGTTAAGGGGGCGTGGCCAAATAAATATGAATATAATACGTATTCTAGGAAGTTTGTATTCATGAATCGAACATGAATATATTCATGAAACAGAATAGAAAGTTTCCAGGAAATAATTTACCATATATTGGCCACAAAAAATGATGTATGTGATGTCCCATGTGCTATGACTGTCTCTTATACACATCTAGATGTGTATAAGAGACAGGGCCACAACGCTACACTTTTGCTCTGCAAGAGTTCTACCTT